TGTTATGTAAAGTTCTTATGCTATTTATGTTTGAATTTTGTGTTTACAATTTCAGGTTGCTTGAAACCAATGTATTGAATATATATATTGTTTGTCAGTGCTGATGTCTAAGCTTTGCACTGTCACGGACTGCGGAGGGACAAGGGCCTTTGTCAGGCTATTCGCCTTTAGCCCTTTGCCCCTGCAGTGAGCTCTGTATCCGGCTTACTGTAAATAAAAATACTACTACTACTACTACTACTACTACTTGGTCTTAATTGCTCATTCGTTTTGGATTTCGATTCTTATTGTACTAAAAAGTAGCTAGTTCATGTTGAAAAAATATCTTCACCACATACTTTTAGTCGGTGACAACCTGAGAATAAATATAATCTCCACCCACAAGGCAACATTACCCTTATTTTCCATGCCTTCGTGCTACAAAAGAAGGAGTTCCCATACAATGGCAATAATATTCACACATACAACCATTCTTTTGTCATACTTACATTGATATTGAAATAATGAAACCAAATCTTGATAAGAGAACTCGAGAAGGCACAGAATTCCACGTTAGTTTAGCGATATATCTGTTGTTTATATCGCAATCCCCACCACACTCATTTCGGAGTCCACGGAAAGCACTGTACATCTCTCGAAGGCGACGTTTCTGCGCGGTATCTATGATTATATTAAAACAAACCAAGCCACATTTGACGTAATGCTTTAAATTGAGATATCGTTCTTTTGCAGCTTCACAAAATGAAACAAGGGCATTAATCCTATTTCATAAAGCCTGTAATTTTTGTGTTATTAATAAACTTTCGCTGCCACGTTTATTCACTGTTTGCTGTAACTATGGCAACTATGACTCAAAGCCAGGCGAAGGGTGAAGAAGTTATCCGAGGTTGACTTCGTAAATTCCGATTCTTGTGTTGTCGTAAATACCAAGTGTGCGTCTCACATTGCCGTGCTTTTCATCGTGTTTCAGGTAAGGGGAGGTGCTACTCGAAAAACGATTTTCTTTAATAAGAGTCTGAATTTACCACAAATTGGCATGCTAATAGAGTTTTTTCTCCTTTTTTCAAATATGTCATTTATTTTCATGTAAATTGCTTGCTTTTCTTTCTGCAGGTCAGATACTGCGAAATTATGGCCATTGTTTTGCAACAATTCTGACCTATAAAAATTTAAGATAAAGCATGCAGATGTAGCTGACTATGATCCTTTGGAACTGTAGAGTGCAAAAAACTATATAAATTTTGCGTGTAAAAAGGTGAAATACAATAATAAAATAGAAAAATTTACTATGGCTTTAGTTGCCAAGGGCTTTCAATGTTATGTAATTTTTGAAAAACATAATCAAGCAGCACTGACAATCTGAATAGATACTTGCACTCTATGGGCCTTCATCATGCATGTGCAAAATTTCATAGAGGTATCACAATTCTAAGTATACGAACTAGCGTGTATAAGAAGCACAGATCACACAAAACTGCAAAAGGAGAAAAACGCATTTGAAAGTTTGAAACCTTTTTTTTTTATCACAGAGTTGTTAGAAATGCATATTCTTTGGCCATAATGTTCAACAGAACTTTGAAAAGCACAGCAAGTTACTAGAACTGTCCTGCAGCATAGGTTGTGCCCTCGCAGTCCTTGCGAGCACTCTCTTCTAGCCGTGCCCTTTTCACTTCACGATGACGGTGGGCCCTTGCTTCTGCTGTCAGACGCTCGGACATTCTCTTGATGCGCCTCGCATCGCGGGAATCACTGAAAGTAACTAGATCTTTAGATGGCAGTATGTTGAGCTCTTCCAGGATGTGCTCGAAAGTAGCATGACCCTTGTTGAACCACAGGATTGCCATAGCTGCGGCAGTCTCGACAACCATTCGGGAGACAAACTTAATCTTGGGGCAAAGTAGCCAAATTTTGCTGTTCAGGGATTCCGATGCGTTCTGGGTTTTCCCTTTCATGCATCGAGCAAGGAGCTTCTCATCCGTTAGCTGCTTATAAATGGGCAAAACAGCTAATCCCTCTGCTTTTGTCAGGAGAGGTGTGTGGCGTGCTGCAGGTTCATCAAGTGCTTCAGCGCGTTGATGTTTGCACCACGACTCTGTTCCTGCAGGGCAAAACTTGTGGCTGCCAGCATTGTCAGTAGAGCATGAGTGGAAGTACGAAGCCCATACTGCAGTGTACATATCCAGTACACTCCTCGTGTTGCTTGTTATGGCAATCTGATAGTATGTTTGGAGCTTCTGAATGGCTGGCTCTTTTATTTTCTGCCCTCGTGGTAATGGCACATGCAGCGTCCGTAGCACGGTGCCAAGTCTCTTGGCCACATGATTAGTGCAGTCTTCTTTTTCTATATTGACAGCACCATAGACTTTTGACTCTCCAACTGCACTATATGCTTTGCTGTCACCGTCCCTCAAGAATGTCATGAAATGCAGTAGGGTGTCATAAGTCAATGTTCTCTGCCAAATGCGCATTGCAGCCTTTGTTTCCATGGCATGGGAGGAACAGTCTGCAATTTTTTCACAGACTGGGCCATGGAATGCCTGCCACACTCCCTCGTCTGGGCCCATATCCTTGTACCTACTGCATGTCAGGCAGTAATTTGATATGACCTCGAAGTCTAAGCAGAGGCCCGAATCTAAGGAGATAACTGCGCCAATCCCGTTGTGGCTTTTGTGGCCCCTGTTCTGCCAAGTGCCGTCGAACATAACAGCCACATCAGTTTCGCCTGCTACTTCTTTCGCCAACTCTCTGGATCGGCGCAAGTTTTCACTCACAGCTGCCATGGCAGCGGTGTGCACCTTCTTTGCTATCGAAAAAAATCCTCGGTGGTGCATTGGCTTTAGGGAGTCCCGTAATGGAGCAAAATCTCGACAATTGCTCATGCCCAATGCCGACAGCGCGTGCAGCCACCACCGCCTTCACATTTACAGTGAAACTATCTCGGGAGCTCCCACTGTCGTACCGTTGGCTAACTCGGCTGCTGCCGTCCGCCGTAACACGCAGTGACGTATAGGAGCACGAAAGAACAGTCGCTGAGCATTCCCTGTTTTCGCAATGAAGTTCGAGGAGCGACGAAATTCCCGTGCGCTTTTCTGCCGGCTCCCGAACGGCAAGTTTTTGAATACAGCAAGCAGGGCATGCCGCACCTGCCACAAGTGCCGTCAGCAAGAAGGTGTCGCACAAAACTGTCGTTGCACAAACCTCATCGCGCTGTCTTTCGTCTTTTTCGTAGAAGCCGAGCTTCTTTTCCGAAGCACTGACAAAAGAAAGCGCAGCGTCAATCCCTTCATCGCAGCCACTGTCGCTCGCACACTCGTCGATGCCGCCGTCAGGCCTAGCACACGTAGGCGCATTCTCGTTCGTCGCCGTCAATCTGGGCGCTTTGCACTGCCTTCCCTTGAACTTGTGCTTCGTTCGAAACTTCTGCGGTCTCACGTTGCACTTTTTCGGGCTTGTCATCGCGGAAATATGCGTAGACGCGCAGTAAAGCAGATGGACCAAATGCCGATGGCCGCCACCAACACAGCTGACAATGACTCGGTAGCCAATGGCGATGCGGCTTAGGGTGCCGCGCGTTTCAAACCGCTCAAACCACGTGATGAAAAGGCCTCGCTTTTTATTTATTTTTTTTTGCCCACGTACGAAACTGGCGGTCGTCGGAGATGTAAGAAGAAGGCCGGACGCAACTTTCCCAACCGATCGCGATGGCGGGCAGCACTGCGACGGGGAGCAGCGCGCTGGCAAAGATGGCCAATATCGGCGCAAATTCACGAAATTTTGAGCCACTGCGATGCCTTCATAGACATTTTTTTTGCATTTTGCGGTTTGAATTTAGTTTTGAAATTTTCACAGATGAAAGAAGAAGGTTTGAAGATTACAATGCAATGAAAATCAGAAATACGAGAAATTTCGCTAAAAACGCGATTTTTCGACTCGCATCTCCCCTTAAAGAGTGCTGTCCGATCTAGATGTTTGGGCAATATCAGGGATTACAACACGCAAATGTCCCCAGATTACTCGCACATGCACAAAACGAATGATACCGATCGGCAACACTTTTGAGCGGGCAACAGTGACCAAATTGGAAGGTCTTGTGCGATCAGGCTATCTGCAAATAGGTGGAGCCAACGCAACACTTACTCATTTGTACTATTTGTCTGAAACAGTTGTATGCGGAAAACTGACTGAGCCAATTGCACGACTGATCACTCGCCATTTTGCACCATGTGTCTGACAGCCTACTCTTGAGGGCTATTACAGCCACATGCACATATTTTTTGTATTTTTATGTGACTGGCCAGTTACACATGTAACCAATGCTCTGTACAGGCAGCACCAGAATGCCTTGGAGCACTCAGAATTATTTTGCTGTTCTGATAAGCTTGTGTGCATACCACAAACAGTAGAGGGAGCTTGATGTACACAAGTTCCATATTGATTTACCTCCTACTAGATGAACAGTAGATTTTATTCAAAAACTATTGGGGCCAGAATGATAAGGCTTCATTATTCGATAATTGATGTATAAATATCAAGGCGCTTTACCCACTGATCGGTTTTTTCGATGACCAATGATTGTAATCGCTGCTATCAGAGTGTTTGGATGCCAGTACTTTTGCAGAGCACAGGTTCTTTCAATACACAGCTCAAGTCTTTTTTGGCTTTACTTCTGTGAACTTCAACGTTGTGACAAGATTTTTATTTGAAATGCTGGGTTTCAAATCGCAGACGAAGTAGGATCACTTATTCACACAGCTGTAAGTTTTTGGTATAAACTGGACAGAAAACGAATCCGCAATTCTCGGTTCCTATTTTAGAGCAGCATGGTGCAGTTTCAGGGAGTGTACAATCGTACTTTTGGCACAGCATGGCACAGGCAGTTGTAAATGCAGTGCTTCAGCTCAATTAGCACTGCTGTGCCATCCCTGCCTATGTTGTAGTAATGCAGTATCTTCTGTGAAGAGTAGTTATTAAACATAATTAGAGACCACATTACAGCATAAAGATTAAAACACAAGGCACACAGTGTGAATTTTATTAAAATGGTGCTGCGCACATAAAAACAAAGACAGTAAAACTGCTTTTGGCACAATGGGTAAAATGTACAGCACCATCAGAACAACTACACATCTGCTGTCATTGCAGCTGTTGTTCAAGAGCACAGACTTTGCCCACAAAGCTACCTTCTCCAAGAGTGGCGAGTGACCACTTCTGGTGAGTCGTCGGAAGATTCAGGGCCTTCCTTCATCTGTCCTGGTGGCCAATGAATGCGGTAGGTCTGTGACCCCGTGGCCTGAAAAGCAAAAGCACAATTATGTGTAAACTCCAATCTTGAAACTAAGGTACAGACCACCTCAGTGGTGTAACAGTTATGGTGGACAGTTGCTGGCCAAATGGTTGTGGGTTTGATCCCAGCGGCGGCAGCTGCATTGCGACGGATTCGAAATCCTAGAGGCCTATGTACCATGCGATATCAGTGCACTTTAACCATTTACTGCCGAGTGTCGCAAGTTCGTGGCATAGGGAAAAACTTCGAAAAAACAAGCCACGGAATGTGTGCCACCTTTAATGCTTGCTGTTAAGTACTCACAGGGAACGCAGCTTTCAGCATGGAAAATCTAGCCCCATCTCGTCTAAGGTACTTTATGCTAGAACCAATTGTTTTGCAGCTGATGACGACGAGAGCATGCAAAATCAATCTTTCTCGCCTATGTGACTTAAGTTCTATCTTCAATAACTTTGTTTACTTGTGTGTACGCGCTCAAGACGTGGCTCAACATGTTATGATGCTTCTTCTGCTGCATGGTCCTCACTTCTACGGCATATGGAGAATTTGCGACGTACATAAAAGTACATATTAAAATTGCATTTTAGATAATTTAGTGGAAGAATCATTTAAAGGTTGCTATTTGACGTTGGAAAATGAAAACAATTTTCATTTTGCTTGGCAGTTTCACGATTCAGGTATTAAAGGGTTAATGAACACCACATAGCAATATTTCCTCAGTTCTTCTACTATGGTGCCTCTCAATCATATTGTGGCTCTGGGACGTAAAACCCTGATACAATTATTGAACTAAGGTACATATGGAAGCTTTTTTTTACTAAACATTACTTGATATATCTACATTTTCTTTCACTTCATTCGAGAATCAGTGTATATGTGGCACCTGTCATCAGCCCACCTAAGTGTTTTTGAGCACACAGAAAGGCATTTACACATCTTAGCTTGTATATCATATCAAACTAATTGAGTGCGCAGAGCTCTCATAGATATGCTGGGTAACACAAAAATAATCCAATTGTGAAAAAATGCCACAAACTCCTTAAATCCAATGAGAGCAGCCACGGCCCTCTTGGTGCGTACCTACAAGCAATTGCCCCCCCCCCCACCCCCAAATATGTTCTTATGCTGTGAGAAATGTTCGCTGTGCCATTTGCGAGAGCACAGCTATGTTTAAGCATATTGTAAATTATCAACTTGCGCTCCTGCTTCATCATTAACCTGATAAACATACACTTCTTCCTTGTTTACTCATCCCAGATGAAAGTACAGTTGGCGCTGCACAGCAGGGAAGCATAGTTAATAGGTAAGAAATCTTGACGCGCCAAGCATGAAGAAAGAGCTAAACTGGCCGGCCTTCCTATTTTCTATGTATTGTTCTCTCTCTCTTTTCCCATATTTTTGTGGGCCGTGCACGAACTTTAATCACGTTAGCCCCTGAATTACGGTACGTTTAATGCAGCCGCCCAACTGATGCACCTGGAACGTCTGGCTGTACAAATTCCCTAAATCGCTCTTCAAATATCGCAACACATTCATACAACGATCAGACTTATCTAGGTTTGTTTAAGAGTCCTGTTACTGTACGTTTTATCCACTTAGTTTCTTTTTATGCTGCGAAGAAGCTGGCAACCCTCAGTGCCTCGACGTGGTCAAAAGCGCCATGACGACACGATTCGTAGTTTTTTGCGTAACTGAATGTGCTCCGCCCAAGTGGACATGCATACGAATTGGACACCGTGATAAGCGCGCCCCTGTGTGTGCTGGCCATCCATGTTTCAACATTATACCTCGCGACAACTTTCTGTGCCAGCACAGCCAAGACTATGAAGCCAAAGCACGCACTTTTTTAGGAACAAAAACAGGAACAAATAGGACTAAAGAGGGAAAAAAAAAAAAAAAAATTAGTAAAGAAGAAAAGAAAGAAACAAAGATCCAAATAGGAACAAAGAAGGTCTACCTTTCTACCTTGCACAAATAAACAAAGTGAAATGAAATGAGGACGAGCTGAGAAATCCGAGGCAGCTTGTTTGTCTTTCTTCTGCTTGTCCTCGTTTTTTTTTTTTCTTTTTTCGCACTGTTAATTCATTCAAGATGTAAGCCCACCAACTTGCTCAATTGACTATTCTGACGTTACACACTTGCTTCAGGCTGCTTGGCATGCGAAGCTATCTTAATTTGTTTCATTCTCATTACATAATGCTGTTATAAAGATTTCATAACAATACATAACTATACAACACAATGTTACTAGGACCGTATCACATACGAAAAACATTTGACATAATATGATTTGATGCATATGAAAAACATTTGATGTGAATGATTAACAGGCTGCGTGCTTGTGTACGCTATTCCGACAGCATCACCTATAATCCTAACATTCATGTTGCACTACAACCTCATCACTGAAAGACAGTTTATTGAAGATTTTGATAGAATAATGGTTACGACACACACACGTATACATTTTAAACAAGAGAATTATCTGCATATTTTTGGCGCAATAAAACAGGCACTATCAATGTTGGCACTGCTGCTAAAGGGTCTTCCCACATTGAAACTACCGAGTGGGTCCCACAATCAGAACCCTTCCAAAAGAAGCTTTCCTGCATCTGTGAAACTCTCATAAAACCTGTTTCATGGCTAATTGGCTTTTGCAGACGGGCCCCATGAAGGGCTCATGTTCGAAATGAATGAGAGACTGAGACTCTAATGGTTCTTGCTAATCCTATTGAGCGTCTGCCAAATGTACACGCAAAAGAAAAGCAAACGTAAGTGGAGCTGTACTATAAATGCAGTAAGATCACTCACGGCGAATATTGCAGAGTGTGGCTGACAGGTGCCTCCGCACAGCTTTCTGTCTTTCCTGTGCCAGGGGATCCTTGCCCGCATAGTATCGAAAGAGGCCTGCACAGATCAGTGAAACTCGTTTTCTCCAAATGCCTCCGCTAGACACAGAAAAGGGAGATTGTTAAGCAAATCACATGCAGCACCCAAACAGGTTTTTTCAGCAGCACATCATGACATCTTGTTGCAAATCTCACTGCACTGTCTTCAAACTCACCGTGAAGCATAGATTTTGGCTGAATCATGAACTAAGCACCTGCACGGTTACATGTAAGTCCTAATGTCTGGCCACTTGCGGCTGATTTCGATTTTGATTAATCGCACAATCAACACACTAAGAAAATAATATATATACAAATGATGTGAACGGGAGAAACATTTTGATAGTTCAGTCGACATTTTAGCATTTCATTACAAGTGTAGTGAAGAGGAGAAAGAAGGTACACTCGCTAATTTAACTGCCAAGTCGTCACAGCTCTCCTATCAAATCGTCATGTGACATTTGCTACAGGCGCTGGACATCATTTTCATGGCAAATTAAACAACCTATTTGCGGCCGCACACTGACACTAAATCATGGACACCACGTTTACTTTAGAAAACAGCTGTGCTGAAAAAGTGGTGCTGTCAAAGAAATAAAAAAAAAAAGGCCTTTTTGCAAAGGCAGCCGTACCTAAGACTGCTCGAAACTCTTCTAATGTCATAATAAATGAAGCGGTACTCATTTCAGCAAGACAAATACTTAATAAACTTATGGGTAAACTGAAGTGCTATTTCTTGACGCGGTGGCAAGCATGTGCTTCGGTGCTGTAGCTTCTACAGTGCTGTCGAGAAAAGTTGTCAACTAACATAGCCAAATCTGCTTTCTAAACTGGGTTTCCGTTTCACCCAGGATCTCCCTCTCGTCAGGCTTCACTCTTGCAGCTGGGCTAGAAAGCAGAGACAGCAGATCCCTAAGGATTTACCACAGCTTTAAACAACTCTGCTGCCAAAAAAAAAAAGAACAAACAACAAAGAGAGGTGATGATGTCGATCGTTTGCATCTGATGCTGTTAAGCCAAGGCGGCGAACCATTTAGCCTGCAATGCAATGCTAAAATTAAGAGAATGCGAGATCTAAGAAGTATGTGGCCTTGTGACTACATTATATGTGGGATTGCAGCATGCATGCAGAGTGACGTTCGTACTGCTCAATTGCCATGCCAGTCTTCTGAATAGTGCTGTGTACGTCTGAACGGGTGCTGCATACGTTTCCACGAAGAAAAGTTGTACCTTTCACTGTAGCGAGCTTTTCCGGGCTCAGTGGCTGCCTTGGATAGAACTTTCCAGACGACAGAGAACGGTTAGAAGGAGTGCCAGTCACACTGCGCTCCAGCAGTTCTTCAGGGGTCCAAAACAGCAAAGCGGCAAGCTTGCAAAACCTGGCGTCTGTGGGAGCACTGAAGAGCTTGCTCCACTCCCGTCTGTCAATCCAGTAGTTGTTGCCTGCATAGACCTGTGGCGTGTGCACGCACATGTTCACATTAGAGTTGAAATGCTGTCACCTGCTATAATTAGGGAGCAGAGGAAAAAGAGCTGGTGTGCAAGCTTCAAAAAATACACTACTAAATAAAGGCTGTACATATAACCGCAAACAGTAAAATTCATTCGCAAAGCAGTTGTGAAATACAAACCCACTCCCACCTGTGTAAACCTTTAAACAGTATTACACCTGACTTAGAGCATAATCCGTGTGTTGTCATTGTCCTTCCATGTTGAGTGAAATTTTATGAATCACAACTATCTAACTGCTCTTGGTGGACTTACGGCAAGATTTCGTTAATTCAGCACTGTGTACTCTGTGTTCATAAGCCTTTCTCTATACACATTTTTTTTTTTTTTGCATGGTGATTCAACAATAGGAGGTCCCAAAGTAAAAACTGTTGGGGGGTACCTCCTAACAAAGTAAACAGTTGAGTAGTCATTGGTAAGCTAACAGTGGCGAAATAGCGGAAAAGTATACGAAAATTGTGCATAAAAAGTGATGCGAGGATCAATAACAAGTTGTTTGAAACAACAGAGTCAAAGAAACACATTACACAGACAAACCACTTAGCAAATGAATTTGAAGACGTTGGCAAGATGAATGCACTCTGCATAATTTTAAATCAAAACGTTGCGTGTTCCACAGTGCTACACACAAAAATCTAGCCATAATTTGTCCATCGTTTGTGCTAACTTTAGGTAAAAGTAGATGACGGTTAGTCAAAAACATTGAGTTGTTTGCATTTACAAAAATAACATAAAAAAACTAGAAATGCTCAAGTCTTGACATTGGGAATTACTAAGAATGAGACATTTGAAACCCGCTGTTATTGCTTCCATCCACTGCGATTGCAAAAGCACGGCATCTGAGAGCTTTCATCACTGTGTTTTTGGCATCTGCAGCCATTTCTTCGACGATGGCGGTTGTTCTCATACGTCCGCACCCGTACCGCTTCACATCCTCACACTTTGGGGACATTTTCCAAAACAGCGGTCCTTTGTGATGGCACACTTAGCGGCGAATTCTGCAAGAAATCCCGTGAATATATACGGTAGGCATTCTGCTGCAAATTGTACTGTCTGCGCAGCTTTTTTTCGAAAAAAAAAAAATCCCAATATTGCCCTGCCCTGCTGCAGCACGAACGTAATTCTTATGGTTTCATGAAGCGACACAGTCTGTACTTATCACCTTTCCACACAGTCACGAAGTATGGAAACTTCGTTGTGTTTGAGTCCAGAAACACTTGCAAGTGCTTCTTTTTTGGCGCCACCTTTTGGTACGGTGACGAGCGCGTCTCGTCGCCACCACTCTTCGCTCAGACGTCCGGTACTATAGTGGCTAGAATATACTTAGCGGCACTCTACGATATGGTTACAATGAACTAGAAATGTAGTGGCGAGTGCTGTTCCGCAGCATTGCAAGTGTCACAGCAGGAAAACCCGACGTACACGCTTGATTAAGAAGAAAGTCTCAGCTGTGGTGGCCACTTTTCTGGAGATTCCAGATACGATTCATACAATCGGGAGATTTGGTTGATATTCGGTAGCTTCCTGAGCAATTCGGGAGAGCTGGTAGGTGTGCACTGGTGTCTCTTATACCCATTTGTTTTTTATATTAGTGCCTATTACAAAGGGGTTCGACTGTATCATCAGCATCAAGACAATGTGTTCCAAATAAAGATATCCATCCTTTATAAGTGAAAAACAAAATAAGGGAGGTCCTCGGACTGATCCCTGGGAAACGCCTGTATCAGTGATTTTTGGAGAAGCGAAAGAATCGATTATGTGAACAACTCGTCTCTGGTTAGCAAGATAGCTTTTAGTCAGCTGTAAAGGTGAATAATTCATGTGAGTGATTCATACGAATTTTCTTTCACTTCTACAGGGGTGGATGTAGACATGATCATTTTCACCAGCGAAGGTGCTTAAGCTTGTAGAAGCAGTGTTAGTTGCGAACAGAAATCATCATCATCATCATCATTGTGAACGGCCACGCACTGTTTTCATTCTCTCTATCTTTTGTATCTCTCTCAAAAAAAAAAAAAAAAAGTGTGTCGATTTGTCCGGCATGGGATGCAATAACCCTGATCGGTGAGAGAACGAGCACCGAGAGAGCAAAAAATATGAACAGAAAGAGAGAAATTCTTAATCAAAAAGTTTCTTGACAAGGTGGATAACTACAACCCATGTGCCCACAATCATACAGCGAGCATCATAGCCATACGTCAGCGAACTGACTTACACTCAGCTTAAGCCATGAATCTGGGCGAGTCCACGTGAATAATAGTTTGACGAGTTTGAGTCCAAGTTGCCGGCCTATGGATGACTACTTGGCTATCCAGGCACGCTAGCAGAGCAAAGTGTAGCCCAGCACAGTATAGAAAGGGGGCGTGAAAGAAAAAGAAGGGTCAGGCCTGGAAGGCATGGCCAAACCAGTCACACCCAAAGCACAGAACAGACACGAGAAATGTTTTGTGCCAACTGAGCCATATTGTGCGATTACCAGGCCCGTCTAGCACACCATCTGTAAAGGGCAGCTCACAGTCAACTATGTGGCATTGGAACTTACATCAGGGCAGAGGGGGCATGCATATACTGAGAAAGTACGTGCTTGGTGCGAAGATATGGTGCTTTGATGCGAAGATATCCAAAGTACCTGCACATGCCAACAGATGTGGGCATATGTCGTGCATTAGACTGATCTAACAACAGATAGCCAATGCTGCAACCACAGCTGTTGTCCTGATGTTATGCCTGTATAGGGTCTTTTTCAGCAGCAGTTGGAAGCACTGATCTGGCTCAGTGGTAGTATGCTTGACTGCCGTGCAGAAAAGCAGGCTTTGATTCAAGCTGAAGCAGGGATTTTCATCAAGAGGGAAGCACTCGAGGGGCTGGGCTGCAGTGTGCTGTCGTCCTCGCTCAGCATAATACCCCTGTCACAAGGCCAATATAACGTCATTTGATTGCTGTCACACGGGGAAAGTAATGCCATTTGATGAAAATGACATTTTTGGACGAATGAGTTCCCAAAACGCATTCGCATTCGATTTCGGACCGAATGAGTAGCCTCGACACCTGGGACTTTTAGGGAGATTTTTTTATGTAAACAGAGCTTTTATCATTTATAAATATCTTGTTCTTTACTGCATCATTATGACATTGCGGACAACTTTCATGCCGACACATGGCCCCCACAGAAAATAAGCGTGTTACTCGGGTCCGACGTCTACTGGAAGTTAGCAGCTGTTTGGAATAGATTGTTTGTCTTGTGATCTGATGGCTGTCGAAACCAAGTTTGGATGGACCATTCAGGGGACAATAGAATTACCAGAAAGTTCACCGACTAGCACTCTATTCCTGCAGTGCAGCACGACTTCCCATTCTGACAGTCGATGCTTCTGTGATGCGGCGTCTCGACGTTGATGAAGTCGTCATCTATCGAGGAAAGAGACGAGGCTCGCCCCAAACTTCAGTCATCTGAAGAGGGCATCGAGTTAGACGGACGCTATAGCAGATGCCACCGATGTTAAAGAGCCACTCACCAGGTTTTCACAATTTTGAGCTTACAAGCGCAATGTTTACGATCACATCTGCCAAACTTTGCAACGCTACGTGCTGCGGAAATGGGTCAAATTTCAAGATGACGTTGCTCTCCATTGGTCCTCTGCGTAGGCGACAGTGCTCTGACGTGGCCAACAGTAGCATGTGAATGGCGAAAATTATTTAACACGACATAAGTAGGTTATGCAATATGTTGCTTGAATAGATGAATAAAACTTGAGATAAATAATGAGACGCAATAAGAGAATGTGCACCCATTTTCTATATTTTTCCCGTGAATTTCAACGAGATGCGGGGCTAATGTGCCGGCGTTGCGCATGCGTTCCGTGTTTCCGCGGCCCCTGCATCGACCAGATGACAGCCATGGAAGCGAAAGTAATGCTCGATGCGTTCGCGCACTCATTATTCTTCATCTATTCTACCGCGTCTAAGCCAGCGTTTCCAAACCATCTTGCAGAAATAGGCAGTAGACCACAAAATAATGCTGGCCAACAAAATAACGCCGCTCGCATTCTCGGGGTTCGGGCTTGTCAGGCACGTCATACGCACCTCACCTCTTGGTTGGATGCCGGAGAGGGTAGGGAAGAGATTTTGCCCGAGAAGATACGTGCGGCAAGCGGCAAGGGTTTTAAGCTCGCCTCCTCTCATCAGCGTTTTGCGCTGCTTCAAAAAATAAAATAAAAACAATTTTCTCTGCTCGTAATGATCCGATTTAAAGAATTTTTGTGCCATAACGCTTTTCGTCGGAGACACAAAAACTTCCACGGTATAACTGAAATTTGTTATGAGGCCTGGTGAGTGGCCCTTTATGAGATCCCGGAATAGGACAGAGGCAGGGATAATCGAAGATTGGCCGAGTGCCGTCTGCAAGCCCAATGGAACAGCTTACAGCAAGAGTCAGAACTATTGAAGGAGTATGACCCTGCAGTTAGATCATACGTCAACGAGGAGCACGCAGCCCCGCCGTAGTGGGCTAGTGGCTAAGGTACTCGGCTGCTGACCCGCAGGTTGCGGGATCGAATCCCGGCTGCGGCGGCTGCATTTCCGATGGAGGCGGAAATGTTGTAGGCCCGTGTGCTCAGATTTGGGTGCACGTGAAAGAACCTCAGGTGGTCAAAATTTTCGGAGTTCTGCCCTACGGCGTCTCTCATAATCATATGATAGTTTTGGGACTTTAAACCCCACATATCAATCAACGAGGAGCACGCAGTGCGCGTTGAAGGGCTCCTGCCTAGGGAGAAGGTACAACATACGCCCCATCACGCAGTCATCCGCCAATCGGTCATCACAAAGCTTTGTGTATGTTTAACGCATCACTGCACAGGTTAGGTCATGCCTCCTAGAAGAATGTCCTGCTCAAGGCTACAAAACTCTACACGTATGATGTGCAGCCACTCAGTAACTTGGTGG